ATAGCCTCGTGGTGTTTGCGGTGGGACTGGCCACGTGTTAAAGGTGGTATCCAAGAGCGGGAGCAGCGAGGCTCGGTGATGAGCGCTCACGAGAGGCTGCATGGAGTAATTTCTCATGTCAAGTACCCCAAACACAGGCAGCTGGAGCTCTTTGGCGAAGGTGATAAAAATCTGAGTGACATACTTATACATGTACACGCGAAGAAGACTCTGAGGAGACCATCAGAATAAAAACATCATATATAAGCTCAGACCAAGCCATTACCAACAAAAGATCGATCTTGTGTTAAAGTAGCTCCGCCCTATGAGGCTAGACTCGTTGGCGCGAGAACCTGGAAGGGCCGCATACCGTGGCGGCTGTGTGAACGTCTGCATGCCATTTAACCATCTAATAAAAGTTGAGACTTTGGAACGCTTCTGCCGAAAGAGGCACGTACCCACACTCTCCATACTTATTGTTCGAGACACCGTGACAGCTTGAAGACGGTCGTGTTTTGTCGTTCTCCTACCACCTTTTCAAGGAGTATATCGTGAGTCAGTTTTGTGAGTTCATGAGCTGTGTCGATTCAACGAGGATGGATGGGAGAGACTTTCCAGAGCCTGAGGTAGATTGCGTTAATTTTTGCAAGTCCAATCAAGAACAGTGTTCGTTCCTCCTGTTTCTCCACAAGTAACACGTCAAAGAACATTCCAGAAATAAGACATGGTCAGGCGAGTGAAACTTTCGGGCACAAGAGAGTGGACGGGGCAGATATCACGCAAAAGGCAATAGACTGCCGATACCACACCGCCAACACACCGCCGCTGATCATGGAAAACCCGTACTTCTTCAAAGAACTGTTAAAAGGGTAGTTTCTTTCGAGTTTCAAAGGGCAGACACAGCAATAGCTCTGAATGAGCGTTACTGGGAGACAGGAGACCAGAGTGAGACGACTGAGATGAGAGTTCTATGGCATTCTAGATCAATCAGTCTAGGAGTTTGCAAATATGTGGCAACAACGGCCACAATCGCAGCGCCGGCGTCACACGTGTGCCAGTCTACAGCGATCCTTGTCCTCTGACCACCACCACACCCAGACGAGCAGGCTCAATGGATGCTTTTCTCAACAATCTGCTGCGCTCATTTGTGCCCACACCGACAGAAAACGCCGATGATAGCGACATGCCGCCTCTTGAGCCTATCTCCGCTGCTTCGGGGAGCTTCACAGCACAAGATACAGCCATGGGTAATGCGGACGATATGCCAGAGCTTCAACCGGTATCGGACTCGTCAGATGGCGGTGAGTCGGACGACGAGGCAAATGAGGTGTTGATGCAAGCCGTTGACGACGACAATGACGATGCTTGGACCGATGACTCAGCGTCCAGCATGCCTCCTCTTGAGCCTATAACTCGTACGAACCGCCGGGCGCGGGTTGAAGACGATGAGGATGAGGATCGCGACCGTAGACACCCTTCTCAGCGCGTTAGCAACCCCGTCGATTCAAGAAATGCTGCTGCGACCCCTCCGACCTTTGATCCTCCTGGCACTGCCCAACTCCCTGGTCAAGCTATTGCAGACGAGGGAGCAGACGCTCCACCCGCCCAACAACCCGCCGCGCCAAATAATGGGCCTCGGCTACCTATGATCAGCGGCTTCGCGGTCACAATTGATATTAATGGGCAGCGCATGGTACGCCCTCTTCAGGGTGGGATACCATTTGAGGGTCTCCCTGGTGGATTCACGGACTTCTTCGGGCTCCTGAGCTCTTTAGCAGAGCGGGAGACGGAGGACCCGGAACGCGCAAAACAACTCGTAGATGGGCTTGAAGAGGTGCCAGTAGGCCTCATAAGGCGACTTGAGGCACTCAACGGAAAGTCGGCGGATGGTGAAGTCGAAGGGACGGGTGCTGGTGACTGCTCGTGTGCCATTTGTTGGGATCGTTTGCTGGATGGTGAGGGAGGATTTGGCGCGGAGGCAGCGGGAAGCGACCAGCCTAACGCTGAAGCCCCGGCCGAAGCCCCGGCTGACGCTCCAACGACCGGCGAGGCGACGACGGAGCCAGAAACACCCGCAGCCAACGCTCCTATGACGTTGTCGTCCGACCCTACTCAGCCGAAGATTGTTTCCCTTCCTTGCGCTCACATCTTCCACGCCACATGTCTCATCCCATGGTTCTCTCGTCCACGTCAGACGACATGCCCGACCTGTAGATTCAACATTGACCCCGAGCGGCTGACCGCTCGACGACGGGTTCCACCTATGCGTCAACCCGCAGCTCCTCCTACAGGTGCAACTCAGGCACAGCAACCTGCCCAGAATGCAGAGCTTCCCCTGACGCCGGAGGAGAATGGGGGAGCCATAGGCAATACTGCGCCATCAATAGAGACCCCGACAGCACCTGCGTCGCTAGATGGCGAAGGTCAGTGTATGTTTCTTTGCATGTGGTAGTTGTATTCTTACGTCTCTAAACAGCAGCGGGGGTCAACGCCAACGCCAATCCACCCAATGCCAATCCAACGCCAGCGCCACCTGCCCCGAACCCCACCCACGTCCATCCACCTGGCGCTGTCCTTACCATAGGATTCGATATCGTCATCGGGCCACCTCCCAATTTTGGTGGTGGTGCACCCTTCCCGTTCCCTTTCCCAGGTGCTGGCAACGCCAATGCGAGTGGGGATCCAAACACAGACGCCGACAATGGCGAACACCACGACCACGACCACGACCACGATAACTGGGGTCCCATGGATATGGGTATCGACGAGTTTGATGAGGCGGGCATGATGGACCTGGACGAGGATGGGCCCGCCTTTGACGACTTCTTCGCTGCTAATATGCCAGCTCCTGGTGCTCCAGTGCACCTTTTTGAACCCAACTTGGGCGCAGGCGTAGGCCCTCAGCAGCAACAACAACAACAAGGCCCTCAACAACAAGGCCCTCAACAACAAGGCCCCCAACAACAAGGCCCTCAACAGGAAGGCCAACCTCAGCCACCCATAATGCCGCCTTGGGGTCCCGGCATGATGGCGGGGACGGGACGCACGATGGGAGAGGCAATTGCGGCTTTGTTAAGCCAGGCTGGAGCAGGAGCCCCCGGGCAAAACATGGGAGCTCAGGCAGGCGCTCCCCCGGCTCAGAACCCTGGTGCACAGGCACCACCACCCCAGACTCAACCTGGACAGCAACAGCAACAGCAACCGGGGCAGCAGGTACCACTTGGGCCCTTCAACGCTGCTAATGGTGCGGCATTGCAAGGTTTCCTCACTGCTCTGTTCTCCTCGATGCTGGCGCAACAGCAGGCAGCGAGGCAAAATCAGAATCAGGACCCCAATCCTAATCCCGCCCCCGCGCAGGCACAACCTCAAGGGAACGGACCCGCACCCCAGCCTCTGCCTCAGGGTGTGCCCGCTGGTGCGAACGCTCAAAACAGCTTGCCTAACTTGGGTGCCCTTTTCGGCGGTGCCGCTCCCTTTATTCCCTTCGCCATGGCTGCTGGCCCACCACCCCTTATGCCACAAAACCCATTCTTGGACCTTGCTTCCGATGTTGCTACTGCTAACGCCAACGGAGCCACTGGAGGCATTCCTGCTAGCCCACCACCCCTTGTGACTCAAAACCCATTCTTAGACCTCCCATCCGAGGCTGCTAACGCCAACGGTGTACCTGGAGGCATTCCTACTAGCCCACCACCCCTTGTGACTCAAAACCCATTTTTCGACCTAGCTTCCAATGTTGCTGCTGCCAACGCCAATGGTTTTCCTGGAGGCATTCCCAACGTCAATACCAACGCCAATCCCACTCCAGCCTCAGCTCCCGCTCCCACTGCCACAGCAAATGGCCCTGGCGCCCACGGGCTGAATCTACCCTTCAACCCGTTCGCAAACCTCTTCGCCGGCCTTCCTATGCCCAATTTGGCCGGCGCCGTTCCCGGTGCAAACCCACAAGCACCCGGCCAGCCCACAAACGCACAATTTCCGCGGCTCACTCGCCTCCCCCCGGTGGCAAGCCCTTACTACCCCGCTGCTCCTCCTCCCCGCGAGAAGAAGGCATGGACGCTTCCACCCGCGCCTGGCCCAACTCTGCGTCAGCGTATCGAGCGGCGCGAGCGCGAGGCGGGGTTGAGGTGCTTCGATATTAGCTGCGGGGTTGGCCCCTCGGACGAGGACCCCTTCGCGAGACTGACGGAGGCGGCGAAGCGCCAACTGAATATTCGTGCGCTGCGTAACAAGGAGCGTGGGGCGGGGACGGGACATGAGCACGAGCTCGGCGATGGGCAGGAGGGGGAGAATGTCTGCCCGCATACGTTCCATCCGTCGTGCTTGGTGAGCGCGGCTAGGGTGGCGCTCATGGGGGAGGAGGCGGAGGTCGTCGATGGGGACATTGAGATCGCTTGCTCTGTGTGTCGGGGAGTCGGGAGTGTCAAGAAGGGGGATTGGGACGAGGGGGTCCAAGCTCTCGCTTAATTGACTCTTGTCGAAGTGACTCTCGACTTATTTATTCGCCTCCAGTTTGTTTTCCGCATCCATTGTACCCATCGACCACGACTCAATCATATCTATCCTCATCCTCCAACCATCCTCTCATCATTATAATCAGTCGATACCAACCCTCTTCTTTTCCCTGCTTTTCTCCTCTTCAACCACTGCGTCACTCGCATAACACATCGACATCAATTTCATCACCGCATCCTATCATGTTCTATTTCAGTTGTATTTGTATCCATTGTGAGCCTCTCTCTGCCGCCTTTGTGAGACCGCGACTGAGCCCCCTTGATTTTCCAGATTATTCTACATATGAACAATTTTAAAAACACCTCGCAGCAAACACAACCTCACTATCGTATTCCCGTCACGCTTCTACCTTCTACTAGCTCGTTAGACGTTTATATAGTCTTTTTAGATCATCTGTGTCGCGTATCTTAAAATACACTGATGATAAACAAGATCATCATTTATAATCTGTGAACGGTATTCCAGTCCAGTACTTCGTCAATTTGCCGAAAGAAAAAATTCAAAAATTCGGGTACGGGGAATCGAACCCCGAGCTGCCGCGCACCAACATACGAATATCAACCATAATGAGAGGCGGCAATGTTAGCCGTTACACCATACCCGATGAAAAATACTGTCATATCTGCCCTTTCGGTGGATGATGGATGATGGATGAAGCAAGGCTAGTAGTACTGGCGAAAAAGGATTCCGGTACGGGGAATCGAACCCCGAGCTGCCGCGAGCCTTCTTTGATGAAAGGCGGCAATGTTAGCCGTTACACCATACCGGATATATTTATGCTGTGTCTATCACGTCTCTATACATGTCCTACCATTACCTACCGCATGTCGTGCCAATCTCTTGTTGGATCTTTGTCCTTCTACCGCCAGTATCGACAGCCCTTACCGCTGATCATCGCCCATGCGCTTCTTCATTAGCTTCTTGTGCCCAACCAATATGATCACAGACTGCAAGCGACGCCATCTGGATTAACGTTACCTGCCAGAATGAACGCGTGAAGCGTCATCATGTGGCCTTGTTCGCTGTACTTCTCGAAGCCGGGATGGTTGGAGAAGAAGTACCCTGCGTTTGAGGCTCCCCTGTCTGAACCTTTTCTCTTCCCCCCCCATGGTTGGCCCCGCTATCGTCAGACAATTATTCCTCGCCTCTGTGCTTGTGAAGTCCTCTCTGGCAGCTCTTGTTGCCCGTAGTGAGGACCTCCCCAGCCTCAACTTCGACTTCGTCATCGTTGGAGGTAATTCGGGCTCTCCGTGCATACTTGTAACTGAAGCCGAGTGACGCCAGGTGGAACCGCCGGTCTTGTAGTCGCGAACCGGTTGACCGAAAATCCTGAGCACTCGGTGCTCGTCCTTGAAGCTGGCGGCTCGTACGTGTGTTTTCTATGGCGTCATACCACGAGCTCATGGGAGGCTCGCATACAGTAATGTCAATGTCTTCAACACGAAGGTTCCTTTCTTCAACAGCCGTTTATTCGGAACCCCGGCAGATTGGAATTACACTACTACCGCCATGCCAGGGTTGGGTGGACGGTCCATGGGGTACCCTCAGGGCCACATTCTTGGCGGTACCAGCTCCATGAGTATGCCTTCTGCACTCCAAGTCCTTGTCAAACACCTCTAATTTTCCCTTCTATCACAATAGATGGTCTAGCGTACACTCGCGGTTCTTCTGACGATTATGATCGCTATGCCAAGTTGACGAAGGACAATGGGTGGTCATGGAATGAAATACAGAAGTACCTCCGCAAAGTATGTGCTATCCGCGCGACAAGCCCGTCCCCATCATATGTCGTGTCTAACCGACTCAAAGAATGAAAAGTGGACTGAACCCGCCGACCATCATGATACCACCGGCCAATTCGACCCAGCTGTCCATGGCTTCCACGGCGTCAACGCCGTCAGTCTCCCTGGCTTCATCTACTCCTTCGATCACCGCGTCATCCAAGCGACATCAGAGCTTTCAAAGGAGTTCCCTTTCAATCTTGACATGAATTCTGGAAATCAAATTGGCATCGGTTCGTGTCTTCCATTTTTTTTTGTCGATGAACGGTCGGATTCATGGATCGAAATGTAGGTTGGACGCAGTCGACCATAAAGGGTGGAGAGAGAAGCAGCTCGGCTACGTCGTACCTTGCGCAGAAGTTTGCCGAAAGACCGAATTTGCATGTGCTCACGAACGCTCGTGTCACCCGCGTGCTGCAAACTGATACTGTCAATGGGGTCCCCGTCTTCAGAGGTGTCGAGTTTGCAGACGACAGCCTTCACGGAGGTGAGTTCCGTGTATCTTTGTCAACTATCTCGCTCACCTCCACAAATAGCTGGCCCACGAAAGACAGTGACCGCGACCAAGGAAGTCATTCTCTCCGGAGGCGCGATCGGCTCCCCCCACATCCTCCAACACTCCGGCATCGGCGATACCGACCTTTTAACGAAAGTAGGAGTTAAGCCCCTCGTGCACCTTCCCTCGGTAGGCCAGAACCTGACGGACCACCCGTTTGTGGCGAATACCTGGCTTGTCAACTCCACGGATACCTTTGAGACTGCGCTGCGGAACGCCACGCTCCAGGAAGAGCAGCTGAGGGAATGGAATGAGACCCGTATGGGTCCATATGCGGCTAGTACTTTCAATGTCGCGGGGTGGTTGCGCCTTCCGAAGAATGCGGCGGTGTTTAAGGAGTTTGAAGACCCGTCGGCTGGGCCTCATACTGCTCATTTTGAATTTATTATTGCTGTTCGTATTCCTTTTGCACTTACGGCCCCTCGTTGCTCGCTCACCGATCTTCCAGAACGGCGCAACTCGTCTTCCTGTACCCGCCACAGGGAACTTCATGGTCATCGGTACGGTGGTCGTAACCCCTCTCTCCCGTACGTCCCCTGCCCATGTCTTCAATGCCCCGCATCTAAAAGTGGTTGCACAGGTGGAACCGTGTTCATCGGCTCCAACAACCCCTTCGACGCCCCAATCGTCAACCCTAACCTCCTCGACTCCTCCTTCGACATCTTCGCAATGCGCGAAGCCATCCGCTCCGCCCGGCGCTTCGCCCAAGCCCCCGTCTTCTCAGACTACGTCATCAAATTGCAAGACACCGCCGTCACCGATGCAGAGCTGGACACGTTCATCCGGGGCGCGGCGATCACCGTGTCGCATGCTGTCGGGACGGCGTCGATGTCGGCGAAGGATGCGGCTTATGGTGTCGTGGATCCGGATCTGCGCGTGAAGAAGGTGGTGGGACTGCGTGTAGTGGATTCGTCCATCATTGTGAGTTGGTTCTGCTGTGTGTGTGATGGTGTTTGGGACTTATTATGTTGTAGCCGTTGGTGCCCGCTGCTCATTCGCAGGTTGCTACGTACGTTGTGGCAGAGAGGGCATCCGATTTGATCAAGAGTGCCTGGTAGCCGGTCGGTACTAGCAAGTACCTCTGAGGCCAATCATATTGCACGGACATTTGTTCGACTTTGCGAACCAATTACTCAAATATACTGTCTTATGTCTCAGTTGAATTTTGTTCCTCAGGCCCATAGCTAGTCTCGATATCTGTCCAGACTGTCCTAAGTACTTCAAATTGGAGGAATGATAAATTTATGTAATCACCTGATCGCGTTTTCAGTGGTGAATCTCACTTGGACTAGAACTTTTACTCAACATTTCTCTCTCCTCTCTCCTCTCTCCTGCAGTGGCAATGAATCAGGCAAAGGTTTAACTATGTCATCTGAAGTTGTTGAACTGGGGCTGTCGAATGCTGTCCACCACATCAGGAAAGTGAATGGTTTCTGAGAAGGTCTCATATACAACTACAGGAAGTGAAAAAAGTGCAATTTCACCAAGGCTGTCAGTGTACATTACATTCTAATTTATACATCGGTTGGGTTGGCCAAACATGCCACGTATTCACTACAGATGAAAAAGATAATGAACTCCCACATTGCATGACTTTTTCCAATAGTGCCTCAGTGATACTCCTGTCCGCCGCAACAATCATGGGACAATGCGCAATATAAATCAAGGTATGTAATACCCGGTAGCCATGGTACAGAAGAACAGGGCTCGAATTTTTGGGGGGTCTGGTGGAGAGCGAGCTACGCTGTCAAGATTGAAGCGCAGAACAACTTTGACAGAATTGTAACATGGTGCCGGGATACGAATCACGGCGAAAAGCAAAAAATAGGTAAAGCTAGACAAAGATCGGTTGCGTTTCCACCCCAGGCCAGGCTTAGTCACGACGGTAAAGAATATCCTAGATCGACAGCTAGGTAGATGCAGGTAAGGCATCTTCGGAAGTTGCGTGACTTGTGTTCTGATCTGTTTTAAAACCTCAATAATAACTGTGAGCTCAGGTATTTGGTACCACCAT